CTCTCTCTCTCTCTCTCTCTCTCTCTCTCTCTCTCTCTCTCTCTCTCTCTCTCTCTCTCTCTCTCTCTCTCTCTCTCTCTCTCTCTGTGTTACTACGTCTGCCTGCTCCTCTCGGTCCTTGCATATTTTCATTCACACACATGCTCACTCACTCACATGCTTGCACTAACTCACTCACTCACTCACTCACATGCACGCACTCACTCACTCACTCGCTCACATGCACGCACACATGCACACACACACACATGCACGCACATTTTAGAAGTCGTTCCGGAAGCTGAACGAATACATTGCCCTTCGTGTTGCTGCCAAGGGCAAACTGGTATGGGCAATAGCCAGCGTGATACCACTCACCCACCCAGGCGTGCATCCGTCCATCTGTCTATCCACCCACCAATGCATCCATTCGTGGAGCACCTGCACACCTCACATTCTGTTTCGCTCCTGTGCCCTTTGTCCCCTACAGTACAGCAATCGTATATTCTACCTTGCCCTTCCCGCCCTTCCCATCATCGAGACCGTCACGGAACATCTCAGCAAACACTGCCAGACACAGGTCGCAAACACAAGCGCAAGGCTATAGTTGTTGGCACAATATGCTTTGTCATGGCCATGAGTGCATGTACACTTGTTAACATGGATGTGTCTGACCGATTGCACGTGCACACGTGCTTGCATGTATGTCAAGAAAATTCGCCTATTCTCTTCACTCACGTGGTGGTGCGTCTTTGACAACAGTTTGGGCGGACGCAAGTCGTGGCGAACAAGTCCCTCAGCTCGGTGAGTCGTGGTGTGTTGCCAACTTCAAGTTTGCATGATGCAAAAATCTTGGAATTGTTGTCAGAAACAGGTATGGGTTGTCAGTCTCCGTACTCTTACGCACATACCTGATGCGCTCTTCTGTATCGCCCTGTCCGCCACACAGGATTTGTTGCGCGGCTTCGAGGAGGAGCAGATTTGCCGCATGGATCATTCTCGCCCAAAAGAGATGGCACAGAACTGGCAGCTCGTGCTTGAAAGGCTTAGCAGCAAGCAGGACAGTGCAAGGAAAGACAAGAAGGAAGGGGTGGCACCTACACTCGCTCGGCTGGAAAGGTTTCTTGCACAGACTGAGTTGGCTGACAAGGTGAAGGACAGAGTCAGGGCCATCGCCAACAGCACTTGTGGGAAGAAAGTGAGGTGAGTGTGAACGAAGTCTCACTTTGCATGCGTTGAACCTGCAGAAAATGGTCCCTTGACCATATCTTGTCTTTTGCGCGTGCGTGTGACTTTGCTCTATTTGCTCCCTTGCGTATGTGCGTGAAATTGCACGACTCTGACGCAACGAAATGTTTTGCTGTTGCTCAATTACTTGTCCTTGTGTGGCTTTCTTTCTTCTTTCTGTGGAACGCGATGGAATACAGCTTTGCTCAAGATCACATGGGCGACAATGGCGTGCGCGTGGTAGCCGAGGCTCTCCGAAGCAACACGTGCATCGAGTGGCTTGAGTGCGTGATATTGCACAGCCGCCATGCACTGGATTACCTCCTTGTTGCAGGAAAGGGGTATGTCGTCCTCTCCTCCGTTCGTCTGGGTAATGCTCACGCCCTCTGGTATCCCCTGCATGTTCACTTTTCGTGCAAACAGGTTGGACAGCAATCGCATCAGCGACGACGGCGCAGTGGCGTTGGCGGAAGTGCTAAAGCGCAACGCAACCATCATGACACTTGAGTGAGTGTGGAGTTATCCTTGGTGGCGTGGGCCCAATACACACCGCGTATGGCCCGGTGGAAGTGGCTGTGAACTTGCGTATATCTCGAGTTGGTTTGCTGTGGCGTTAGCGATTGCGCTGTCCTCTGTTACTCCGTCTAATTCGGTGACGTCTCACCGTGTTTCACCACTGGCTGATTGTTTTTCTTGGGGGGGGGGGGTCTTCTTCACAGTCTGAACAACAACCGCATCCGTAATGATGGCGCTGTGGCATTGGCGCAGATGCTGAAGCATAACACAACCATCACGACGCTAAAGTGGGATGCACAGGCGGTTCGGAGCGTGTACATGAACGAACTGGAAGAAGACGTGGACCGTGATAGTGTTGCATTAGCACACTCTGTTTTGTAACTGTGTACAACTGCACATTAACTCATGTGTTTCTTTGCACGTGTACTATCATGTGCATCCTCCTCTGGCAGGTTGGGTTTCAACTCTATCAGCGACGATGGTGCTGTGGCATTGGCAGGAGCACTAGTGCACAACACAACACTTCATGAACTCAGGTGAGTATGGGCTCCCATCCACATATCCTTGGCACAGGATGGTCGTGCCCTGACAACACGCATCTACGCAGTGACTTGAGTGGTGGTGTGAACGATGCCTGTACTGCTACGTTACCCGCGTGGTGTGTGCTTCACTTCTTCCTTGTGTACCGATCAACTGGCGCACGTGAGCATGTTGCATGACATGAAAATTGCCTACTCACCTGGATTGACACGCGTTTTATCTTTGTTCTCTTGCATTACTAACATGTGCACGTTCGCGTGTCAGTCTTTGGCGCAATTATATCGCCCCTGCTGGCGGTGCAGCGCTGGCAGCTGCTCTGAATCAGAATCGCACCCTCAATCAACTCTCGTACGTTGATTGGCCCAGCCCTCCTTGGTCAACTGCTTCTCTTGTGAACTTGCAGTGTAGCCTCAGCGCACCTGCTCAAACTCACGTCACACCATTCCTGCCCTCCAAACCTCAGCCTGGAGAAAAACTCGGCCGCAACTGCCAGCGCTTTTGGGGCCGCGTTGCCCGTGGACCGCGAACTTAACGCAGGAGACTGGTCAGCATGACTGGCATGATTCGTCTTCCTGTGTGCCGTGCCTTGTCATGTATCATTCCCAGCCTGTCAGATATCCTTTCACTGTTGTGCCACAATGCTTGCGTCATGCACAGGGTTCTGGATAATGAGGGGGAATCAGCCTTCAATGAAGCACGCAAGGAGAAGATGCAGCAGCACGTGAACCTGTTTCTCGTCTGCAAGAGTGGCGATACCAAAGCGTTGATCTCCCTCATCAATCAAGACCATGCACCCGTCAACCAACAAGACGAACAGGTGCGTATGCGTGTATTATGATTGTCCTCTGCTTGCTCCTTCATGTTTCGTGTTCACCGTGAATGAATTGTTCTCACCTCTCTTTTCTCACCACTTATGTACTCAACGCAGGGCGACGCCCCGCTGCACGTCGCCTGCAGGCACAAACACCTCGCCATTGTGAAGCTGCTGCTAGACAAGGGCGCAGACACTTCCGTCAAGAATGCGAAAGTGGGATTTGTTTCGGGCTGATTCCTGAAGTGCAACCGTTGTCTTGCCTTGCGCTGGCCACTTCTGTCTGCCTGCTTCCCTTCTCGCCTCACCCCATGCTACTCTATCTACATCCTAACATACGCAGGGAGAGACGCCCTACGATGTGGCGACAGCTAGCGGCCACGTTGCCATCATTAGCATTGAAGCCCTCAAGCCAGACAGCAAGCCTCAGCAGCAGCAAAAGGAGAAAGGCCCACCTGCGCCAGCCCCTTTCGCCAAATCAAAACGAGGCGGAGAGGCAGCGCAAGGCGTGAGTGAGGCAGAAAACTTGCATACTTGAAAGCAACGTGGGTGTTTGTGCGCATCTCCTCGCTTACCTCTTTCATGGCTTTCATACTCTGTTCCCCAGCACAATGTCTCACACCACCGCATCACCATGCCTTGCTCTGCCTGCACCAGCCCGAGAAGGCGCGCAGGGAGCGTCTCCAGCAGCGCATGCGGGAGGTCGTTGCGCGCTTCAACGCCACCATGGCGGGCAGGGCCAAGCTCATCTTCATTGGCCAGGGGCGCGCCGGCAAGACCAGCACGTTCCACTCACTCATGGGCCACACCTTCAACAAGCATGAGCACTCCACGCCTGGCGCCGCGACCGCCGACCTCGCCGTCATTGTCGAGTCCATGGACATCCATGACTGGCAGGTGCGTCAGCTAAGCTTATGCGTTTCTGTGAAATGTGCGACGCATGCGTGAAGGGAAGTGTCGTGAGTGACTCGTGATTTGCAATGCGCAGCACAGCGCAAACACACACACACACACACACAACCTTGCTTCTCCTCCTCACCTTTGCAGGAGCTGGATGCGGAGATCTCGGAGCTGATGCGCAGTCTCTGCGGCACGGCGCTGGCGCAGGACTCCGGCGTGAACTTGCAGATGAAGCAGGCGATGATGAAGGCGAAAGCCGACCTGGAGAGCCGAATCGTTCGGTACCAGCAGCAACAGAAGCAGAGCGAAGCACTGAAGACCAGGCCAAGGGCAAGGACTACCAATCTGAAGCAGAAGGCAACCCCGAAGGAAACACAGTCACAGCAACCATTCCATGAGTCACCAACGATCGTCCCCGAGCCCACCAAGGCGTCTCATGCCCCAGCATCTGCATCCAAGCAGCAGGTCACAATCGGTCCTTCCAGCAAAGGTGATACTGCTTCCCACGACAACGAAGAACACGGCAGCCGCGCCACCGCAACCGGCATGTCTACGGAGGAGATGGAGAAGGCGATCAAAGAGCTTAACGTGGATGCCGTCATGGGCGAGGGCAAAGCACGGGTCACTTTCAAGGTGTTTGACTTGGGCGGCCAGTCCACCTTCTACATCTTCCACCCTTTCTTCCTCACAGAGTGAGTGCGGCAGTGCGTGTGTACGTGTGTGTGTGCGCGTGTGTCTGTGTGTTTGAGTGTGTGTGCGTGTGTGTGCGTGCATTGTGTGTCTGTGTATCTGTATGTATGTATGTATGTGTGCGTGTATGTGTGTGTGTGTGTGTGCGTGTTTGCCTGCTTGCAGTCCCTCCACCACCTCTCCTCCATTCACCTCTCCCTTCATCACCGCACACACACACACACACACACACACACACACACAGGGCAAGGACTACCAATCTGAAGCAGAAGGCAACCCCGAAGGAAACACAGTCACAGCAACCATTCCATGAGTCACCAACGATCGTCCCCGAGCCCACCAAGGCGTCTCATGCCCCAGCATCTGCATCCAAGCAGCAGGTCACAATCGGTCCTTCCAGCAAAGGTGATACTGCTTCCCACGACAACGAAGAACACGGCAGCCGCGCCACCGCAACCGGCATGTCTACGGAGGAGATGGAGAAGGCGATCAAAGAGCTTAACGTGGATGCCGTCATGGGCGAGGGCAAAGCACGGGTCACTTTCAAGGTGTTTGACTTGGGCGGCCAGTCCACCTTCTACATCTTCCACCCTTTCTTCCTCACAGAGTGAGTGCGGCAGTGCGTGTGTACGTGTGTGTGTGCGCGTGTGTCTGTGTGTTTGAGTGTGTGTGCGTGTGTGTGCGTGCATTGTGTGTCTGTGTATCTGTATGTATGTATGTATGTGTGCGTGTATGTGTGTGTGTGTGTGTGCGTGTTTGCCTGCTTGCAGTCCCTCCACCACCTCTCCTCCATTCACCTCTCCCTTCATCACCGCACACACACACACACACACACACACACACACACACACCAGGTACGCGGTGTACCTGCTGGTGTTCTCCATGAAGGACCTGCTGCACCAAGATGAGAGCAAGCGAGCTGAATCGTGGGAGTTTATGGAGCACTGGCTCTCCTCTCTCCACCTCCACGCCAAGGGCGCACCCGTCCTCATCGTCGGCACGTTTGCTGACAAGATTATCGAGCGGAAGCAGCACGAGGCCATCTCACGCGACATCTACAGCCGCTTGCGCCACAACCCCGCTTTCCCTGGCGTCATTCACAACGACAAACACGGCCTGTGGTTCTGGCCCGTCGACAACACCAAGTCTATCAACGACACCATGATCCAGGACCTGCGCCAGACCATCTCCTCCACAGCACTGGCGCAGGAGTACGTGAGCCAGGAAGTGGCCGTCCCTTACCTCCACCTCTTCGACAAACTCCACGCCATCGCCCGCGACGAGAAGCGACCTCTGCTTACGTTTGACGAGGTGGTGGACATTGCGCGCACGTGTGGGCTGCGCACGCGTGACGAGACGAGAGCCTGCCTGCAGTTCCTGCACCTGTACTCAATGGTGCTGTGCTATGACCACGTGCCAGGCATGGAGGACTATGTGATCCTGAGTCCGCAGTGGGCGGTGGACACGATGGCCCGCGTCATCCGCAACTTTGATCTGCACCGCGATGTGCGCGATGGCGAGGCGAGGGCCGTTGGCGCACAGCTGTGGGACGACCTGGTTGACCGTGGCATCCTGCATCGCCGCCTGCTGGATGTGCTGTGGAACGACGTGGACAGCAACTTGGTACTGCCATTCCTGTGCTTGATGATGCAGTACGGGCTGTGTGTTGAGTACTCTCCACCCAAGCTGGTGGACAGTCGCAGAGCACTCGCACGCACCAACTCTGGCCACGGTGACAACGCTACAGCCAAGGGCAGCAAGGGCAGCAGTCCCGGGCACCAGCAGTACCTGGTCCCTGCCATCCTGCCGATGACGATTCGCCACAACAACAGCGAGATGGCATCCGTGTCACTTAGCACGACGGCAGCACAGCAGGTCAACCCATACGTTGGTTATGAAGAGAAGACAGCCTACGTCACCTTCAGCCTGAAGCAGTTCAAGCGAAGTGCGAGCGTGCGAGTTGAAGATGTGCAACAAGCGTCATTCCTGCCAGAGGGGTTGTTCACCGTTGTGCTGGCCCATGTGATGATGCATGCACAGCACGGTGCATCACAGGAGCCCAAGCTGAGCCGCACCCACGCCGTGTGCTTCATGGAGTCCACCAAGCTGGAGCTGCAGCTTGTGCCGGCTGTTGGCGGCATCAAGATGAAGATCACGAGTGCACAGCCACGTGCTGTGCTGCACATGCTGCACAGCATGATCAGCGAGGCCGCCAGAGAGCGCTACCCCGAGCTGAAGAGCAGCCTGCTGCTGCCGTTCGACGACAAGACGCTGCTGTTCTTCGAGGACATGCTGCACCACCACAAGCGCAAGCAGGACATGTGGGTGGACGAACAGCTGCTGTCACCCGATGACCTGGTCACCAAATACGGCCCTCTTCTGCCCGTCCTTGGCCTGCAGGACAAGTACGACGTCTTCATCAGCTACAGGTGAGACGTGTGTGTGTGTGTGTGTACGTGTGTGTGTGTGTGCGTGTGTGTGTGTCTGCCTGCCTGTCTGTCTGTCTGTCTGTCACTTCCATCCACCACCACTGCTGCTCCACACCACTCCACCTCACATCCCCCTTCTCCCGCCGCCACCATCACCACCTCAGGCAACGCGCCAGCAGTGGGCTGGTGATGGCGCTGCACCCGCGCTTGGAGCAGCGCAACCTGGTTGCGTTCCTGGACGCCAACAACCTGGAGACGGGCCTCAACTTCAAGTTGTCGTTCATGACGGCGATTGGGCTGAGTCTGGTGGCCTGCCCCATCGTCTCTGCTGCCACCATCATGCAGATGAGGCAGCTGCAGCACAGCGACTACTGCGACAACGTGCTGCTGGAGTGGATGACGATGCTGGCGCTGCGCGAGTACCAACGGGCGCACGAAGAAGATGAGGAGCAACATGCCAAGATTCGCCTTCACCGCGTCGTGCCTGTCATTGTTGGCAGCGCATGGCACAATGTGAACGACAGCAGCATGAGCAAGGCCGAGGTGAGCGAGTACGACTCGTTTGACCGCCTGAAGCGGCTGACAACGAAGCTGCCGGATGTTGTCAGCAAGGAGACGGCAGCAGCCCTGGACCAGTACTTTTCGCAGGTGCTGCACTTACCACCACCACAGCAGCACAAGAGCGTGCGCGAGACTGTGCTGTCGCTGTTTGACATTGACGCCGTGGTTGTATTGGACGCCACTGAGGACCGCACGTCGCAGCTGCGCGACATTGCAGAGAAGGTGCGCCAAGTTGTCGTCTCTGCCAGGAGTGACGAGCAGGCAGGGAATGGAGCAGCAACTGCACGTCGTTCCACGCAGGTATGCGTGCTGTGCTGTGCCCTTTGCACATGTGTTTGCATACATGCACGCATGCTCAATCTCTTCCTCTTCCACCACTTGGCGCTCACGCTGTGCTTCACGCACCCGCTTGGTAGCCTATCCTGCAATCGTCCTTGTCATACTCCACCACTGCCACAACTCCTGCTCCACCACCACCTGCCACCCCATTGGCCTCTTCCTCCTCCTCGCCATTTGAGCCCGAACTGGCGGCATGGCTCACACAACACTCGCTGCTGCCACACGTAAAGCAAGCGCTGGTGGAGCACTGCATCGACTCCCTGGAGGTGCTGGTGGGGGTCGTGCGTGAGGGCTTACTCACCACACAGGCACTTGTTGCAAGCGGCGTGCCGATGGGTGCTGCGTTTAAGCTGGTGCAAAAAGCGAAACGTAGTGCGGATGGCAATGCATAGGGTCAAACACGCGTTCCCACTTCTATTTTGGCTTGTTCTGTTCGTGCGTACTTGAGTTCTTGTTCCCGCTTCCTCCTGAATTCACGTTCACATGTTGACGTTGTGTTCATACACAGCCATGTTGATTTCTTTGAACTCTTGCGGTTGGATTCCATTTCTCTTGCTTCTTGCCTTCTCGATTTTGCTTTGACATGAAGAAACTGACAGCAGACACCCTTACGAAAAAGCACAAGTTTACACACACACACACACACACACACACACACACACACACACACACACACACACACACACACACACACACACACACACAACATGACGAAGGAGCGTCATCGATTGCTCTTTCGTTTTCCAGCCAACAAGACACGTATCATTGTATGATGTGATCGCTTTGAAAGTGCGACATCTGGCCAGAGCCACTGCCTGTTGGAGCTAGCACAGTTGCGGAGGACGAGGCAGCCGATGTTTGGCAGACTGTCCAATGTGTCGAAGGTGCAATTCTTCAACACGAGGGTATGCACGCCTTGGAAGAATGCAAAATCCGTAATCTCGCACTCACGCAGCTTGCACTTGAAGACATCGTGACAATTGGTGATGGACAGGTTGTTGTCGCTGCCGCGAGTATCACCGTCGTCTGCGCAGCATGAGGATGGAGGCCCGGTTGTCAAGGCTACGCGCTCAATCTGGAGGGTATTGATAGAAGTGAGAGCCAAAGCTCCACAGCACGCGTACAGGTGCAAGTTCTGGCAGTTTGACAGCTGGCCGAACAGCGGACAGTACATGATGCGAAGGTATTTCCGACCCGAAAGCAGGTGAACGTCGTGTAGGGGTCGAACGCCGGTGCCATGCAAGGTCAGCCACTGCAGAGCAGACCCAAGCCACGCGCAGCGCAGCTCCCCTTCCACCCGGGCGTGCAGCTTTCGCACACACCCAGGCACGGGCCCGTCCACGCTGGCTCGCTCCACGCACACGTGGACGCTGTCAGGAACAACACAAAGGTCGGTGACGCCTCGCACGCAGTAGCAGAGAATCAGCCTGTCAGCGCGACGGCCAACGTCTGCAAGGAACGAGCGTGGCAGCGTTGTCTGTGGAAGGCGGAGCACCACCACGTCTGCGTGCTCAAAGTCCAGCAGCCGGGGCAGGGCGTTGGGCGTTGCATCACCAATTACAAGTCGCTTGACGTGAGACGGAGAAGTGAACCGCGACACCTTTGATTCCATGTCGAGGACGATGTGCGTGGCGTTGGGGAGGTGCAGCACGTCAGGGACGGCCACCATGCTCGACAGCTTGACGTGCGTGGCGCTCAGAGTGGTGGTTCTCAGCTGTATGTTCTGGAGATCGACGATACGCGCTGTTTCAATGGGCGCCTCACTGTTTATCACGTGGCCCCCGTTGATGGCGAGCGCCTGCACGGTTTGCAGTGGTGCCAGGTCAACGCGATTGCTGTTGCAACAAGAGAGAGTGATCGCTGATACTCTCGCCAGCGCACCCACGTCCATAACAGAGGTGTTGTTGCCGAGCTCCACCAAGTGCACATTGTCGAGATGCCCGCGAATGGTGCGCTGCTGCTTTGTGTACCAAATAACGTGGTGCACGTCATGCAGCGTGACGTGACCAATCTCAGCATGGCGCGCAAGAATCTTGAGATTGGTGATGCGCGTTGCGGTGAGGGCAGACAGCGAATTCCGGATGGTCAGACGCACAGTCTGTGCACAAACGTGGCCCAAGTGCACGCTGCACAGGTCATGCATTCGATCAGCCTCGGCTTGAGTCGACAAGCACGCCGAAAGCGAGTACAGCGCCGGCGAAGGTGCGCACAAGGATACTTGACTCACTTGCCGCTGCGCTGGTTGTGGTTGTTGCGGTTGTCCGTCAGGCTCCGCGCGAGGCCTTGCTCTGTGTTGCCGTGACGGCTGTTCCATCACATGGACGGGTTCACTCGAAAGGCAGCCGTCGTTGGTGGAACGTGTGTGCCATCTTGCACCGCCAGCCAACGCCACTCCCCATGAGCTAAGGTCGTCGAGAGAAGCAAAGGACATCCGTCCACAGTGCCCAAACTCGCGCCAGAAATCTCCTTGTCTTCTTCTTCTTGAAGTTGAAGCCAGCATGCGGTGAAGGAAACTGCACCTGCTGTCCCACGTTGCTCCCAGCCAGCAGTACACCAGAGCACCAGAAAGCGATTTTCTAGCCACGCGGCATGCTCGACACCAGGGTCGTCATTATATCTCCGGTGTAATGAGGTGTCGCTTGTCGTTCGTGACATTGCGGTGTGAAACGCCGTTGCCGTTGCCGCTGTTGTGATAGTGGTTGTGGTTGTGGGTGCCGTTGCTCTCTGGACGAGGCACTGGCTGCACTTAAGTCGGCGCAGGGTGTGCTGGTGGCGGCGGTGGGGCCGGCACACCCCGAGGCGGCGGCGGTGGCGAAGGAGATGCGGAGGATCAGGGCACTGCAGCAGGATGGGGTGGGGGAGGGTGTGGTGGTGGGGGATGTGGTGGGGGATGGCAAAGCGGAGAAGGAAGGGGAGGTGGTGATGCATGAAGAGGAGCTCGATGCGGAACATGGGGAGGAGACGAGGGATGGGGACAAGCCGCGAGAGGAAGAGAAGCAGCAAGAAGAAGAGGAGGAGGAGGTGGTGATGCAGGTGAAGGAAGGGGACAACGAAGAAGAGGGGAAAAAGGAAGAGGAGGACACGGAAATGCACGCCATGATGAAGGCTGCGACCAATGGGGATGAGGATGACAACAAGGATGAGGAGGAGCACAAAGAAAAGAAGTCAGAGGAATCAAAGGGCGACAAATTGGAGCCACAGCAGCAGCAACAGTCACAACAGCACGTGTCCGGTGGAGTGTTGCAGCTTGAGGGCCACGACAATGTCGCGGACACCAGCACTGACGATGTCACGCCAACGTCAAGCGCAGGAACACGGGGCAGCTGGAGACGCGCAAGTCACGCGATGCAGTCATGTTGTGTCCTCATGTGACATTGTCGTTTTGGATGTGAATGAGCGTAGAGGTAGGCGTGTGTGTGAGTGTGTGTGATTGTGTGTTTGTGATTGTAAGCGACTCGGAGCACTTGATTGTGTGATTGTGATTGTGCTTGTAAGCGACTCGGAGCACTTGATTGCATGTGCCTGGCCGGGTTAAACGTTGTTGTGAACCATTTACATTGTTGATTGATTGATTGAAAGTTAGAAGAAGAGAAGTATAGAACGTTGCTTTTAGAGAACAACAGCAAGAACAAGAAGGTGAGACGTTTGCGTTTATCGCTCGTATCATACATACACACACGCCACAAATGAGCGTGTCAGCGGGGTGAGAGGCTGCCGTGTGAGAGGTCCTCAAACGTCGGGCGGGACGTCGCACTCTGCGCCATGCACGTGAGCGACAAGTCCTGGTACCACTGAGGCACATCAACGTGTCCTGTTATTGGTGTAAATGGAAGGCGCGGGTGTGTTACGTGAGAGAACATGTGTGGTGTGAGTGTGTGACAGTTGATGCTTGTGTTGAGTGATAGCGTTTGTTGCGACAACACACACACACACACACACACACACACACACACACACACACACACACACACACACACACACACACACACCTACAAGCACCTTGGTAAGAGAGACGCTTTCCCTCGTCCAGGAGGTTGCTGAGCGTCGACAGCAGCGGGCCGCGGTACCCGCTCCCCTTCTCCTGCGCAACGAGATCGGGCACACGCTGTGTCGCCACCTCCCACATGAGCACGCCAAAGCTGAACACGTCCGCGCGCGTGTCATAACGACCGCCAGCCAGCACCTCCGGCGCCATGTACAGCGGCGTGCCCACGCCAGCCGTCATCGTCATTGTGCGCACAGGTCCGCTCGTGGCACCACGACGACCACCACCATTGTTACCACCGTTGTTATCATCGTCGTCGTCATCGTCGTCGTCGTCGTCGTTGCCACCACGAGGGCGCTGGTTGATGGGCGTGGCGTCCACAGGTCGTGTCAAGCACTCGCGAATGGACCCAAAGTCCGTGATTTTGGCGCGCAGGTGTGCAGACACAAGCACGTTGCCGCTCTTCAGGTCTCTGTCGGCGAGGAACAAGTTGATGTGTGAATTTGGTCACATTAAGGCATTGCACGCAACTCCCAGTGAGCAGCACATGTTCTTGTGAAGCACCACACACACACACACACACACACACGCACTCAACTACAAAGCATAAACACACATACGCACACACACGCACTCAACTACAAAGCATAAACACACATACGCACACACACGCACTCAACTACAAAGCATAAACACGCACACATACAAACAAACAAACAAACAAACAAACAAAGCATAAACACGCACGCACAAAGCATAATCACAGAGCACGCGCCCACCCATCTTACCTGTGTGCATGCCCGAGGCCATGGATAAACGCCATTCCGCTTGTGACGTCCTGCAGCAGCTGCAGTTTGAGGTCCCACACCGTGTCCACGGCCCCGTCACCAGCCTCCACAGCAGCGCGTGGGCGGGAGCGCAGCACCTGCTCCATGTTCTGCTGCAACAGGTCCTTGAGCGACCCCATGGCAACATACTCCAGCACCAGGAACGGGCAGTGTGATGTGGGATCACGCCCAGCACCAAAGAAGCGCACCACATTGGGGTGCCGTGTCTTCTGCAGGAACTCCACCTCCTTTTCGAACTCCTTCTCGGTTGATTCATCCATCAGCATCACGCTCTCCTGCATCACCTTGACCGCCACCGTCACCGTGTCCCACTCGGCCTTGAACACCACGCCAAACGCACCCGCAGCAACACGCTTAATCATCCTCAGCTCATCGAACTCAATCTCCCACGCCTTCTTCAGCGCCTCCACCTCCGCCGCCCGCTGGATCAGCAGCACGTGCTGTCGCTGGTTGTCCTCCTGCAGTGAGCGGCGGTACGAGCGCGCGCGCACGACGCACCTCGCAACCAACAGCGTGAGGAGCACACAGGCCGCGCCGCCAACAGCAGAGCCAGCTGCTACCACCACATACGAGGTCGTCTTCCTGCTGCACCGGCCACTCTCATGCAGCTCAAAGCCAGGCGCGCAGTCGCACGAGAAAGCGTAGCCAAGCGTCATCTCTTGGACCAGCGACGTGTCTGTGGTGGCCGGGGTGCCGGTGAGCTGAAGCGTGCAGGCAATTGGCGTGTTGGCCAGCACCAGCAGCTGCGGGCTTGCGCGCGTGGGCAGTGTGCGGCCCTTGCCATCCGCGTGTGCGACGTTGCTGAGCGTCACCACCTCTTTGGCGGTGGGCATCAGGAGCTGTGGGTCGTCCAGCCACAGGTTGTCCGAGAGATCCAGCACAGCGGTTGAGGCGAGGCAGCGCGCTAGTGCAGCGTGGGTGGGGCCGTCCACAGCAAACCCTTGGCCTCGCATGTTGCGTGCAAGCAACATTTCCGTGCCCTCAGTGACGCATGTCCGCGGCGTGGGCACGAGGCTTGTGCCGCTGATGTCAAGCTTGGGCACAGACGGCACAGACAGCGACGTCAGGTGTGGGCAGCCAGACACGTTGAGGCGCTTGAGTTTGCTGAAGACGTTCAGTTCTCGCAGTTCTGGGTTGTTCATCAGGAACAGCATGTCAAGCTCCAGCGGGCACACGTCGAGCTTGGTGAAGGCGGTGTGGATCAACATCAGCTCCTGCGCTTTGGGTGCAAGCATGTCGCACGCCGTCGTGCCGCTCACGCTCGTGCCAAAGCCCGGCCAGCCAAGATGCAAGCTCTGCAGATTCAGGGACGACGTGGACAGCTGGAGCTTCTGCACGACGGTTGCAGGGAGCGCCATCCCAGCGAGGTTGAGGGCCTGTGTCGGCAGCGTCCACGAGCGCAGTGCAGACGGGCCAATGACCGCCTCGCTGTGAAACCCGGGCGCCACGTCCAGGTCCAGCACTGCAAGGCGCGTGAGGCTGACGAGCTGTGTCAAGTTGAACACGGGGATGCGGTGATTGCGCATGATCAGCGCTTCCAGCTGCGTGTTCAGCGGCGGCAGCTTGTGCAGGTGCGGGTTGTCGCTCAGGTCCAACAGCTGCAGCTGTGGCCGGTGCCAAAATGGGGGAATGTGCATGTCCACGTGGGTGAGGTTGTTGAAGGACAGGTAGAGGTGGTATGCGCCACCAGTGGAGAACCGGTCCAGCCGCGTCAGGCGGTTGTGGCTGAAATCGGCAATCTGGACGTAAAGTCCAAGTGTCGTTCCATTGGGCAAGGATGAGATGCGGTTGTCGTTGAGGTACAAGTTGACCAGTGTCACGATATCAAAGACGCGAGCCATGCCGGCTGGGACGCTGGTGATGCGATTGTGGTCGAGGGCCAGGACAACCATGTACTCCAAACCGCTGAGCGCATCGGCGTGCAGCCGCGTGATGTTGTTGTTCTGGAGGTAGAGGTGGGACACGCTTGGAGGGAAGGGTGTGGCGGGGATCTCGGTGATTTCGTTGCTGGCGAGGTTGAGCGTGGATAGCTTCGTCCAGTGTTGAAACACGCGCGGTGGCACCTCGGTCAGGCGGTTGTTGCTGAAGTTTGCCGTCACGACTTCAAGCACGCTGCTCAGGGACGTGTCTGGGATGGAGGTGAGGGCGTTGAAGCTCAAGTCCAGGCTCGCCACGCGTGGGAACTGCGACAAGCCCGCGCCTGCGTCCAGGGACTGGACGAGGCTGTTGGACACGTTCAGGCACTTGAGGTTTTCCAGCGCAGTGTCCGGTGCATTGAATGTGGCGATGGCGTTGCCGCTGAGATCGACCGTCACCAGCGATGCATTGCCCGCAGCGAGCAGCGCACGCGGCAGTTGCGACAGCAGGTTGTCGGAGAGGTCAAGGGCGACGAGCGACGGCAGCGTGAACGCGCGGCCCGTGTCGGGCTCCAGGTCATCCAGGAAGTTGCCGCTCATGTCCAGGACCTCCAGCAATGGCAGTTCAGCCACGGTTGTGGACGGGTCGAGGTAGCGTTCGGTGAACCCGGAGATGTGCAGCTCGCGAAGGTTCACCCACTCGCCCGTGTGCAGGATTCCTTCGAGTATTTGCTGGAACGGCTGCCCAGCGACAACGAGCTGGCACGGGGCAATGAGCGCAGATGTGTTGCGGAAGCATTCCTGCGCGCTGTGACTCTGGGGAAACACATCCCACTCGTCGATGGTGATGGTGAGGGACGCGGCTGGCCCTGACGTGCACTGGCACGCAATGGCTTTGGAGAACTCGCATGTCACGGCTTCAGACACGTTGTGGCAGGCGGTGAGCGCGTCTTGACACTGCTGGACGGCGGCCTCGCTTGCGGGGGCCCCAGTACTGCTGCGTTTGTGCCTGGCCAATAGCTGCTGCTGCTGCTGCTCGCGTGGCTGGGAAAGACGCACATGCTTGCCGCTGGTGGTTGCTTCGCGTGTGGTGTTGGTTGTGGCTTTGCCTGTGGTGTTGGTTGTGGTGTTAGCTGTGGTGTTGCGACTGACGTTGACAACGTTGATGTTGTTAGCGTTGTGTTGGTGGGCGTCGGGGACTTTGTCTTTGGGCTGGCATGATGCCTGATGGAGTTGTTGGAGGGAGAGTAGGTTGACAGTTGGCAGGCCAGCTGCTGTTCTTGCTGCTGCTGGTGGTGGTGGTCTGGGAAGCGGCGGTGATGGGCCCCGATCGAATGGCGTACCAAGCGTTCTCGTCTGTGCGGCGGAGATGAAGGGGACTTGGTACGTCCGTAGCACCTGCTCAATGTCCACGAGTGCCTGGCGTGCTTCAGCGCATGCGTTACTTGAGCTTGGGGTTGCGGCGGCTCGCTGGAACGGTCATGGGTGAGCGGGGCAGCAGCAGCAGCAGCAGCAGCAGCAGCAGGAGGAGGAGGTGTGGTGTAAAGGTGCAACGTGAGCACAGGAATGAGGTCTGAGGCACAGCGTACGAGAATGGGAGGGGAGAAGCCACTGCATGCAGTTGGTTCGCTCAGCGTTCGCGCCACACACACACACACACACACACACACACACACACACACACACACACACACACACACACACACACACACACACACACACACACACACACACACACACACACACACCTTTGTAGTGCGTCAATGCTATCATGCTTCACATCCCATCAACACACTGTTACATTACACTTACGTCGTTGATGATGGGCGCTGCGTGGGCCTGCTCCTGCGCCGTGAAGACGGCGATGCTGACAACGAGCAGCAGCAACGAAGAGTCGGGCAACACCATCGCAGAGTGTTCGGCGGGGTTGTCTGCTGTGTGCTGCGATGGGCACTGGCAGCACGACACGACAAAAACAAACAGAGGCCATGATGGAGGACAGCGCTCCCCTGACTGTTGTGGAGACACTGCGCTCACTGGCGCAGCAACATGGCTTGGACGTTAAGGGCGGCAAGGTGTGCGTGCAGTGTGTGTGTGTGTGTGTGTGTGTGTGTGTGTGTGCAGTGTGTGTGCAGTGTGTTTGGGTGCAGAGAGAGAGAGAGAGAGAGAGAGAGAGAGAGAGAGAGAGTGTGTGTGTGTGTGTGTGTGTGTGTGTGTGTGTGTGTGTGTGATGGAACTGCCCTTGTGATGTGCTGTTGCATTACTGACTGACAGCGGGCATACATGCGGTGAACGATTGCTGCATTGCAGATCCGCCGCACATCGTCGCGGTTCTGTTTCGGTGTCGAACATGGCGACTACAATGGAACAGAGCTCTTTGGCGTCGGGACAGGTGAGTGACCTGCTTGACCACATATGCGCGTGTGTGTTTGGATTCTTGTGTGTGTATGTGCGCGTGTACGTGCTGCGTGTACACCTGTCATGGCGCACGCTCATGCTTCATCTTTGGTGCGGATGCGAAGATCGTTTCATTTGGATGGCATACAAAAGCAACGACAGCAACACGCTGCGACTCGTGAGCCACAACTTCATCGACGATGGCCTCATCTCCGTTGACCTGGGCAAGGTTGGGCGTGTGTGTGTGTGTGCGTGCGTGTGTGTGTGTGTGTGTGTGTGTGTGTGTGTGTGTGT